TTGCAGTTTCCATGTTAATGACTTGCAAAACATCTCTGTTGGACAAAGCTTTTATTAATGCACCTCTTGCCTTCTCATTGTGCATGTGCCAGGGCTTCTGCTTTGCTGGGGTGTCATCTCCTGGTTGGGATTCATTGATGACGTGCCCAGAGTCCCATTTCAAGCAAGTGGCTTTTCATTCTCTTCCCCCAGATGAGAAAATTATTGTTTGTCAACCTATCTAGTAGGTAGTTGTGTTCAGCTGTGCAGGAAACAGCCATTTTGCAGTTTCTTCTTTTGTCTACCAATTTTTCTAAACTTTCCATTTTTTGCAGCAGTGCTCACACTGGACCCAGAACCCTGTTGGCAGACTTTAAACATGCGGAGGTACAAAGAACCAACTGTTTAAAGAAAATATCTTGGTTTATTAAACTCTGATGGAACAGAGAAGAGGGAGAAAGAGACTTAAGCAACTAATTGCTGTAGAGACAAGAATGAAGGAGGGCAGCTCAGGTGGAGCAGGAAGTCTCCAAAGAACCAATCAGGAGACAGGAAGGACATAGTTTGAAATTGTGAAAAGTCCTAAGCTAGCTATGCTAACTAGCAGTCCTTCAGCTGTCCCCTATAAGTTGTTCTTCTGATCTTCAAGTAGGTGCACTATCATACTTGTATATTCCAACAATTCAGTAGCTAGGACTGTAGCTGGAATAAACCCTTCCTCCTGCTGTTTTTTTCCCACCTTCTTCTCTCTTTGTTTTTTTGGGGGGTGTCATTTAGTGCTTTGTTTTTCTCCCTGAGGGAGACTCAAAGCAGTTGACAGAACCACCCAATTGAAATAAACAGCAATATAAGCAAGAAAAGTACAACGAATTAAAACCCCACCAACCTTTTGTAGATGTTAAATCTGGTGGCCAGCTCCCTTAAGTCACAGGCCATGAGCTGTGGCCTAACGGCCAAGACATTCACACCTGCAGTTTTATACCTGGCAGACAGAAAGAAGACACAAGCACAGCTGATGTGGTGTGCAGCCAGCCAAATGTTCCTGAACAGTTCCCCTCTCCTTGCCCCAGTTGACCCTTGTTGGGGATAGTAACAGTATATAGGCAGTAGCAACCTTAAAATATTACTCTTCGAGTCTCCACCACATGGGTTGATCTCACAGGGAAAGGCAATGGCAGCAGTGACTGGACAGTAATATGTATCTGTTCAATGCTCCAGTTTTGGGTGAATCCTAGAGTATCCCACTGATGTGGTGATGTCACTCCTGGGTTTGGACCAGAAGTGACATGGTGCTAATGGTACAACAATGCTTTCCCCCATCCATTTTCCCCTCTCCACCTTGCCAAGCAATGGCGGGAACAGAAGCCAGACGGCAGAGAACAGAAGACCTGGAGAGCATAGAATACATACAGCCTCTGGAAGCTGTACCTCCCTGAATACATGGAAACATCAAACTGTCTTATACTGTAATGAGACTGTCAGTCCCTTGAAGTGAATCTTGTCCATTCGGACAAGCAGGTTCTCCTGGGTCTCCAGTCTTCCGCTTCATCTCTTACCCTATCCTTTTTGGCAGGAGATGCCAGGGATTGAACTTGGGATCTTCTGTGTGCCAAGCAGATGTTCTGCTGCTGAACCACAGCCCCTCCTGACAAAGGAAGCTGTTAGGCCATTGATCCATCGCAACCATGACAACCCTCCAAGGCACCTGGCTGAGAAAGCTCTTTGCCAGCCCTGCTACCTGAGACCTGAATGGCTCAGGCACGCCTCTCAAAGAAGGTTATAAACTTTGTGCAAATAACAGCATCACTTAGATTAACTGTACTGCTTCTAGACAAAAGGAACAAAGTGGCTTCCCAAGAATGCCCCTGCGCTGGCATGCCTGCTGTCAATCTGTCCTCGATGTTCTCACTTTTCATATATTGTTTGCTGCTCCCCACACACAGCAACTCCCTGGCAGTTCCATTAGCTTTGCTTGTTACATCCTGCCTGCAGCTGAGATGGGGTTCCTCCACCCATAAGAAAAGCTTTGGGTTTTGTTTTTGAAACAAAAAACTTACATAACTGCCCTGTATTGAGTTAGAACCTCCGCCCTTCTAGTTTACTTCGGTGAAAGCCAGTGTGGTGTAGTGATCAGAGTGTTAGATTAGGACCTGGGAAGGGTAAAGGTAAAGATTTCCCTTGCTCGAAAGCCAGTTGAATCCAACTCTAGGGTTGCAGTGCTCATCTCCGTTTCCAAGCCAAAGAGTCAGCACTGTCCGAAGACGTTTCTGTGGTCATGTGGCCAGCATGACTAGACGCCGAGGTGCACGGAACACTGTCACCTTCTGACCAAGCGGTACCTATTTATCTACTTGTAATTTCTTGCTTTCAAACTGCTAGGTTGGCAGGAGCTGGAGCCAGAGACGGGAGCTCACTCCATCATGCGGCACTAGGATCTCGAACTGAAGACCTACTCTTCCCACCTGCAGTTCAGCGTCTTAACCTCTGAGCCACCGCAGCTCCTTAAAGGACCTGGGAAACCCAGGTTCGAATCCCCATTCTGCCATGAAAGCTTGGCTGGGTGATCTGGCCCAGTCACGTACTCTCAGCCTAACCCACCTCACAGAGGATAAAATGGAGGAAAACTGAATTGACTTAAGTCCATTTGGATCCTCATTGGGAAGAAAGGCAGGATACAAATGAAGTTAACGAAAGAAATACGCAGATTGATAACAGTTCTGTGGGGGTTCTTCTCAACCCTGCCGGGATCCAATGCTGAGAGATGCCGGGAATTGAAACTGGAGCATTCTATACGTAAAGGTCTATCACTAAGCCATGGCGTCCCTTTCTCTCACTTTCTATCACTAAGCTATGGTCTCTTCCCTAAAGCAAGCCACACTTGTTTAAAAAACAAAGCATCCAAAAATGTGAATTACATACTGAATCCGTCCCACTAACAAGTATTGGTGCCCCATCAGATTGCAGAGGATAGAAGTTTTCACCTTTATGCCAGAGAGGCAGACAGTGGGGTTTAACAGGGTCAAGGGGTATACTTATCTTTAAATAAGCCTCCGGAAGCTATTGGTTCGGTCTGAGCCTGGATGCTGTGGTCACGTGGCTGAGGGAGGACTAGGTACACTGAGAACTTTGCAGCAAACACAATCACCATGAATTCCCTTGATTATGTGAGAGGTCAGCCCCTGCTCAAATTGCCTCAATGCTTCTTGGCAAAGTTTGTCTCAAGTATAGTACTGTGCTGAGCACCTTTGCAGCTGTATAGTAGCCCCTTGGTTGTTGCAACTTGTGGCTGTGTTAACCCAGTTCAAGAATCAAATCATCTCATTTGTTGGAAAAGAAACATTCCCTGGGGTCATGGTCACTCAAATAATTAAACTGACTGTCATATAATATACAGAATCACTTGCCATTTGTCTTCCCTTTGTGCTTGCAAAGTCAAATGCATCTTTTAAATGATCGACACTGAATAGAATGTATTGCTTGCTTTTTGTGCCTGCGCAGGCATCAGCATCCATTCAAGGAGGGATTGCAAGAGTAGCCGGGTTAATGAACAGATACTGAGACACTTAAGTAGGAAGTGTCAGCTCAAAAAACCTGGAAGTGCTTTTTGTTTTTCATTATACTAAGTGATCTTTCAAAATTGGAGGCAACGGCAAATGGGCATATGTGAAAGTGGAGAGAATCATGAGACAAAGCAGGGTAGTCATGTAGACAGACACATCCAAATTCATTTGGATGCTTCTGGACAGCTCCCTGCTTGTGACCCATAAACAGAAAGTGAGCTTTCTTCAGCTACATCAAGGTAAAATATATAATTGATCACTGTTCTGGACTCTACCGATCAAGCTTTGGTGATACACACTACTGTAACCTCTAGTACTGACCTTTCAATTGTTCAGGGCTACCCTTAAAAATGGCCCAGAAACGGCAACTTGTGCAAAATGTACCATTTCAGCTTAAAACCAGTGTTCCCTCTAAGCTGAGTTAGTGTGAGCTAGCTCACAGTTTTTTAGCCTCCGGCTCACACATTTTCCTCTTAGCTCAGGAAGGATGGCTCCAGAGCAAACTAATTTATGCAGCAGCCAAATCACTCGCTCACAACTTTAATGCCAGTAGCTCATAAAGTAGGGTTTTTGCTCACCAGACTCCACACCTTAGAGGGAGCATTGCTTATAACTAGCGTTAACCGTTTTGGATAATAACATCTATCCTGGAATATATTTCCTGACATCCTATTTGTTTCCTAATTTAATTTAAGGTGCCAGCTCTTTCCTTTAAAGCCTTTTCTAGCCCAAAACCCACATACTTGGAGGACTGTCACTTCCTATATCAACCTGTGGAGCCACTATGCTGCTTCTGAGTGTGCGGCGATTAGAGTGTTGGATTAGGATCTGGGAGGCTCAGGTTCAAACCCCCACTCTGCCACGGAAGCTTGCTGGGTGACCTTGGGCCAGTCATTCTCTCCCTAAGCCCAACCTACCTCACAGGGTGATTGTTGTGAGGACAAAGGTGAATATTGTTGTAAGCTGCTTTGGGTCCCCATTGGGGATAAAAGTGGGGTACAAATATATAACTGCAATTGTGCCAACAGTGTGCTAAGAGCACCAGCATCACCAACATGCAGGTTGGTAGGACACGACTTAGCCTGCCTGTGGGCTTTTTCAGTGGTGGCGTCTGCCCTCACTGTTGGCCTTCGGAGAGTTCTGTAAGGCAGAGCATTTTAGGCAGGCCTTCGGTAACGGACAGAGATACGGTGATGGATTACTTGGCTCTTCTACAATATTCACAACGATGCTCGCTTTGATAAACATTTTTACAGCATCTTGTTTTGTATCCCGTGTATTTATGTCAGCTGCCTTAATGCTTTCGTTGAGGGAGAAACTGCAGAATACTCATCTTTCAGTAAGCAAATGCCAAACAGGAAGAGGTACATTTATCCCAAACCACCCAAACGCACACTAGACATCTCTTGGAATGGACCTAAGCAGTTTCCATGACTAGTTCCCTTTACGTCCTCATTCTAGAGGCCACTGACGAAGAGAGCATCAAGGCTGCGGCAAAGGAAGTCGAGGCCCACTTGGCCGGAAAAGGGCTCAACCTTTTGATAAACAATGCTGGTGTCATGCCCCCAAGCACACTAGAGTCGGTGACCCAAGAAGACATGCTGAATGTGTGCAAAATCAACCTTGTTGGGCCAATGCTGGTGACCAAGGTACAGCTTTGTATCATGCCACGTTCCGGGGGGCACCTTTTCCCATAAAGGAAGAAACTATAGGGTGAATATACAACAGTAAAAACCAAAGAGGGATCCCAACCTGTCTCTCAGCTGCAAGGCAAATCCAGGCTTCCTCTCACTGTAGCAGCTGAAATAACAGGTCTAATACCTGATTCTGAACCTGGTCCCTGGAGTACAGATCCAAAAAACCCATACAATGGGGCCAGGTACAGAGATAGGGGAGACACTTCTGCAAACCTGGGGGGGATGCCTAGGTATGCAGAATAACTGCAATATATGATTTTTAAAATTGTGGTGGCTTAACCCCATCCACCCCCAATGCCAAGTGAAATCTCAGGAAACCTTGAGAGATCATGGTTGGCCGTTTGGGATTGCTTAGCAACTGCACCCGGAAGGCGGGAGAGAAAATTGTGGTGGCAGGATGGGAAAAGGGAGAGGATATGGCAATGGGAAGGCTAGAGAAACTGGAGGCGGTGGATGGGATTTCCCTCCCCTGCAAGTCTTTGCTTACACCAGTAAACCAGGTGCTGGTTCAGTTGCCCTACTCATCTCTAAGTGGGCTGTACGTTTATTTCAATGTCAATTCACTACATTAAAATGAACTAAAAGAGCCAGTTTGGTGTAGTGGTTAGGAGCACAGACTCTAATATGGGAGAACCGGGTTTGATTCCCCACTCTTTCGCATGCAGCTGTGACCTTGGGTCAGTCACAAGTTCTCTCAGAGCTGTTCTCTCGAGAGCTGTCCTCGAAAGAGCTCTCTCAGCCCCACCTGCCTTACAGGGTGTCTGTGGTGGGGTGAGGAGGGGAGGGCAAGGGAAAGGAGACAGTAAGATGCTCTGAGACTCCGAGTGAAGGGCGGGTATAAATCCAATCTCTTCTTCTTCTTCTAAAGCATTACACAAATGAGGGAAAGACAATTGCAGGAAATGGCTCTGTTTGTTTTTATCCACAGGCATTCCT